TCGCCCGGAGCCGACAACATCACAGTCAAGCTGCTGCTAGCAGTGTGGGACATCATTGGGGGACACGTCTGTCGCCTCTATCAGGGATGCCTAACGGTTGGCCATCACCCTGGAGTATTTCGAGAAGCAGAAGTGGTCATGATCCCCAAGCCGGGAAAGAGAAATCTGTCGACCCCCAGGGCATGGCGCCCTATCTCTCTGCTCTCCTGTCTTGGGAAGGGCCTTGAGCGGCTGATCGCTCGCCGTCTAGCGTGGGCATCGATTCATTATGCAGTCCTCCACCCACAGCAAGCCGGCGCGCTCCCGAAACGGTCGGCCGTCGACCCAGTCGCCCCGAAACGGTCTGCCGTTGACCTGGTCGCCGCACTCATTCATGACATCGAAGAAGCATTCGCACGCGGAGAGGTGGCCACACTGGTCACTGCAGACATTCAGGGAGCTTTAGACACGGCCATGTGCAACAGGCTCGTCCTGAGGCTCCGTGAGCAAGGCTGGCCGGACAATCTTGCGCGGTGGGCAGGCTCGTTCATGAGCGGCCGCTCCGCAAGAGTCCGATACCAGGACATCACGACACCGACGACGCCATTGCAGTGCGGCCTCCCTCAGGGCTACGACACCATTGCAGTGCGGCCTTCCACAGGGATCGCCCGTGTCTCCGATCTTGTTTTTGCTCTACACCGAACCGATCTATCGGTTAGGCAATCCCGAAGGACGGTTCGGGTACGCGGATGACACCGCCATTCTCTGCACTGGACAGTCGCCGGAAGAAACATCGCGAACAGCGTCGGAATATCTTCAAGAACTCGTGAACTGGGGCGCCGCCAACAGCATTTCATTCGATCCAGAAAAGACAGAAGTCATGCACTTCTCACGGAGAAGGCGGGAAACCGAGCCGCCCGTCTGCCATGGTGATATGGAGAAGCAACCAGAAGCCGCCATGCGCTGGCTAGGCCTCTGGCTGGACAGGAAGTTCACATTCAAGACTCATGTCGAGAAGTGGGCAGCCAAGGCTCAGGCGGTTGCCCACCACCTCCGGAGCCTAGGGAACACCCGGCGCGGCGCCATGCCGAGCGCTGTGCAGAGGGCCGTCAGAGCCTGTGTCGAACCGATTCTGCTCTTCGGCGTGGAAGCGTGGTATCCAGGTAAAACCTCGCCACGCTGGAGACAGCCGACAAAGGAAG